TACCGCTGGATCGCGGTCCATCACAGAGGCTGTGGATGCCTTTCCAGTGGGACTGAATGGGAGCAGGACTCTGGCTACACACAGCCATCGTTTTTGTGGCTGGATCAGCCGTGCTGGTACGTGTCCTGGCACAGCTGCTGCTATGCTGGCAGGTAGGGACGTCAGACCACGGGGCTGGGCTTCAGGGGCCTGACTGCATGGACAGTGGCTCTGGTTGCTTGGCCCCCAACGCAGGGCATGCATCTGAAAGCTTAGGGAGCCCTCCCTGGGGTCCCCAGGCTGTGCTTGCAGATGCACACGCAGGGTTGGGATGGGGGAATCCCTGGGGGAAGGGAACAGGGGGCATACTGCGCCATGAATGTACAGACATCCACCACGATAAAGCACCGAGAGCTGATAGCAGGGATCATCGTGCAACTCTTCGGGAGTATCAAGGGGCAGGGACGTCTGTACACCCATGGTCTGTCCCTCCGTTAGAAGTTGCACGGCAGGACAAGGGCGACGTCTGCTTGCAGCCTCTGTGGTCTGTCACTCGCCCGCTGTCTGATATAATATCTCTCGGCTACTTGCGGCCTGGGCTGAAACCAAAAACTGCTCCCGACCCGTGAGTCATCCACCTGGACAGAGCAGGGCTGCTCCGAGAAACAGCTCCCTGCCCGGTGCACGCGTGGCACGGACATGACACCTGCATCCCCACGCTGGCTTTGGGCCCTTGGGACTCACCGGGGCACCGATGACCCAAGGGGTACAAGGCCGGGTTTTTGGCCTCAAAATTTGGGGCCCAAGGGGCAGGCACCATGACTTCTTAGCAGCATACACTGTCCTCAGTGTTTTGAAAGGAACAACTAATGGGCACAAGATAAGCAACTTGCAATTACCGAATGATAACCCACTGTTGGGTTTACATGGCAGCCCAAACAGGCCTCTAAAGGGCACAGACCGGTGGGAGGCTCTTGGCAGACAAGGAAATCCTGGGTTAGGATCGGCTTGTGCCAATGGTACCACCGAATGGCATGCCTCGCGTGCGAAGTGGGAGGATGGGTTTGACCCAGGAGATACCAGCCTGACACCTGCGTGTCGAAACGCTGGTTTCTGCTTCTCCCTGGTCTATTCGTGGAGCCGCAGCTGTGTCCCCATGACCCTGACCTCCGGGATCTGGTCAGCGAAGGATTTCATGGGCCACCTGCGTGCATCTCTCCCCGGCTGCTTTGGGAAAGGAGGGCTGCTACCCACCGCCGCGTCCAAGGACCGGTTTCTGCTCTTCCAGCTCACGTCTCGGGGAAAGCAAGGAGATCTGCACGTTGGGCTTGTAAAGCAAATCACGGCTGAGCAGAGACTGGGGACCCAAGCACACACTTCCACCAGATATCTCCAGAGCAGGACTTCTGAAAGCTGCGCAAGAGGTAACTGCAGGAGAGGCAGAGCGGTTGGGAGGAGGACATGATGAAATGCAACCATATTTTAACCTCTCAACACTGTCACTTTTCATAGAAGTGGAGACTCACCTCTCTGAGGGCTGGGAGGGTGAGGACATTTGCTGGCGTGAAGATCCTGGGCCGCAGCCATCAGAAAAAAATCCATTACCTGCTCTGGCTCTTTTCATAAGTATACATTTTAATGGAGGCTGGGTGGAGGGTAGGGGGAAAGGAGGTGTTATTTCTTTGATGAAAAACCCATAAAAATAAAATTAAGTAAGAATGATTAAATCAACAAACTTTCTTTAATAAATTAATAGCAGCATCACAAAACCCTGGTGTGAAGAGCCAAAAGGATGTTGGGTAGGTGACAGTATTGAACCATTCACAAAGATGTTTCTCATCTGATGGCGGGGTGGGGAGGATTGTAAGGCAATCCTCTTGCATGTCTAAACAGATCATGTACATCAAAATGGGCTCAGCTGAGAAGCAGCGCTTACCATATTTACAGTTCTTGTGTTCAAATGGTTTCCTGTTTTTAAACATCTATAAAAGTTTGGTAGACTCTGTGTTAAATTCTCAGTATTTACATCCAAATACAGCAGGTGCTTTCTTTGCCCTCGAACGACAGAATCGGCCTGGACCGGATGGATGGTGCCCAGTCCAGGATGACCCTGGCCAGTGGACTTTGCTGGATGTTTGGATGTCAGGACACGTGCACTATTCACTCATGTGCTATAAGCTCTTGTCGTTTGACTTATTGCTTGATGCTTTTAAAGTCTGTGGTTGCTTTTTCAACCTACAGAGATGTCGAGATTTGTTTTTTGGAAAAGACGTGCTGTGAATTTGCCCTGCCAAAACACTCAGCAAAAGAAAACGCAGCTCCGATTTGCTCCAGTGCTTGCAGGACCCAAAGCTGAAGCAGGGAGTGGGGCAGCCCCCACGGACGTGAACTGGTCTCAATGGCTCAGTCCTTTCCTGCCGGCGCTGATGCTTGCAGGGAGGTGCCCGTGGGAGCAGGAGTAACACTCGAGGCCGTGGCTGGTCCCTGCTAGGCACGGGCCGGGCGCATGCTGCCTTCCTACACGTGGCAGGGTGAGCCCACCACTGCTACACCACCCCCCTTTCCCACTGATTTCAATTAAATGACTCTGGCTTTATCCTGATATGAACGAGACCCATTGGCTTCAGCGGAGCAAGTCCTGACGTCCGATTTCTGTGACAGCCCCATCCAGATTGCTGGATACAGCGCAATTCAACAGCATCGCCGGGCCACTAAACCGGCAGCTCAGGCTGGCACTTCCCAGACCTTTATATCTGCTGCTCACAGACACACCAAGTAAAGCCAGTCTCTGTTAGTCAAATGCAACTTGTTCTTGACCTGCAACAAGCCACGCTACTCTAGAACTGCTCCTAAGCAGAGGCTGCCACACGCTACCACGTGTACCTACCACACAGCAGCATTGTTGTAACGGGGCATTAGCTGATGAAGCTGTAAAACAGTAAGGGCTAGATCTGATGCTAAGTGACGCTCTGAGCACGAGGTGGCATGTGAAATGTACCCCTCCCAAGGGCACCGGCTCAAGAAGCACGTGCCTGAGAGCTCACCGACAGCAGCACAATCAGAAAAACCAGTCCAAATTACCTAGGTGTGCTGACTGCACATGCCTTAGTTAAACTGCATTGCAACCTGGTGCGGATGCACTTGCTCACTTCAGTGGGACGTTGCATCAATTTAGCTCATTTCAGTTTGGAAGTCAGGTGGACTCATTCAGATCCTGACTAGTGTCCACACCAGGGTTCAATGCCGTTTAATCCACTTTAAGGTTAATTCAGATGACCTTTCCTGAGCATCCCCATGCAGACCAGCCTTCAGCCACAACTTCCCCCCAGCTTCCTTCCTCCTTGCTCCGGGGTAGGACTTCCTTTCTGCTCTGCACCACCAGCATGCTCCCCAGACTGGCTCTCCTGGCCCTGGGGGTTTCCGACACCCCTCCAAGTCGCTCTCTGCCTCCACACAAGCCTGGTGCCTGGTGTCTGCAGGGATGGCACATGGAAAGCAAAGCTCTCGCTCCCAAATTTTAACCCTGCCAATCCCAGGACCTGCAAAAGCAGCATGTAAACATGCAAAGAAACAGCCGAGTTGAGAGACTGGGAGAGGATGCAAACCCGAGCTCTCTGGGACCAGGGCTCTCTTCCCCGGGTAAAATGAACAGCTTGGTGCCATGGGATGCCAAAGGCAGAGGGCTGGCCCCAATGGGGCTAGGTGCTCCCTGCACCAGCAAGCCAGGAGAGGTCTGAGGTCCCTCTTGACTCAACCGCTGGCCCAATTTGTCCTTTGCAGGGAAGATGTTGCATGGCATGAGTGAGGTCTGGGCCACTGCTGGCTCTGCAGCTGGGGAAGGGCAGGGCGTCTATGAACCGAGGGTGCTCTGGAGAGAAGGGATGCCAAGAAGCTTATGGGGTGGGGGGCTTGCACGCTCCCTTGCCCCAGCTGCTGCTGTGAGAAGCGTAGACCTGCCCACCTGCTCCCACGCCCTATGTGCTAGCCCTGGCACCCTCGGGTGCTCCCTGCTGCTGCCCACAAGCAGGCTGAGAACAGAAAGCCAATTTGGGGTGTCCCAGCCTGGAGAGCTGCAGGCCCTGTTTCCACGTGGGCCCAGCCTTGCCCCTGGTAGCATGCTCACAGGGGGCGGAGCAGGGCAGATGATCCTCCGGCACTGCTGGGATCCCAGGACCAGCTCGCACCAACATGCTGAGGTTGCACAGCAGTACTGGGACGGCCCCCCTCACTGCGGGCATGAATGAATATGTTTTAGTGCCCAGAGCCCACCGAGCTCGGCTGCCACGGACCTGTGGTCAGAGCTGACCCAACATCACGCCTACCGTGCCCTGCCTGCCGCGGCTGCTGCTTGGTGGGGCACTGCTTTCCTTCCAGGGTTGTGGCAAGATGAATTCCTGCACTCCCTGCCTCGTCATGGCCCCTGACATGGGTGAGGATTAAAGTACATATTTACTGTCAACCTGAAAAAAAAGTTAGACTGACCAAGACCATTTTCCTGTATTCAATATATAAGTATTAATAGGTCATTCTGGACTCCAGCAAACACCACCTGAGATAAATATTCAGCATTTTTGTTCATGCACTGGAAGAGGAAGTCATCGTTTTGTCTGTGACATAAGCAAAGTAACGAATAGTTTTTGATCTAGTATCAACAGTAAATAGAACCTTAAACTTCACTGCGGGGTGTGTGTGTGTGTATATATATATATATATCTGTGTATATATATGTATATATGATTTAAAGTACTGGACCGGAAAGATGGATGTTTAAAAAAAAAAAGCTTTGTTCGGAAGCAGTATTTACAATGTTCTTCGACGGAGACACACATTGTTACACAACCGTGTTTGGGCTGCAGACGCATCGCCGCAGACGGCTGCAGCCGCGGGTCTCTGCTACACGCAGCTCACCCTTTCGCTTACAACATTGCAGCTATTTATCGACAACTCTGAAGTCCCTGGCTGCATTTCTAAGCCCTCCTCAATGTCATCCAGCTCCATGCTGTTGAATTCATTGCCATTTCGATAGCTGTTTAAATTAAGGTCCTTCCCGTACAAAGCCGTAGAGGGGACGTTTGGACATTGGTTTTGTCTCAGAGTCGATTTATTATTGGCCTTGTATTGGCAGCGGATGTAGTTGGAGAAAGCCCTGCGATAGGTTTTATTGAAGAGTGTGTACACAAGGGGATTGACCCCGGAGCAGACATAACCCACCCACACAAACACGTCCAGGAGTTCGGTCAGGAGGCTTTCGCTGCAGGTTTCCGTGCAAAGCACAGACATGACGTTAGTGATGAAAAACGGGCACCACATGATAAGGAACAAAAAGAAGACGATGCCCAGGACCTTGGAAGCCCTCCGTTCATTGTTGATGGACTGCATGGTCCCCTTCCGAAAGAGCACGGCCTCCTTGTTCGCGGGGGAGTTTAAGTGAGAGGTGCCCTCATGATTCTGGAGCATGGAGATGTTCTCGGTGTTGTTTTCCTTCTTGAGGCAGCTCATGCTGCTCCGTCTCTGCTTGGGCATCTCCCCGTACATGAACACGGTGGCTTGCTTCTGCAGCACCTGCACCGTCAGGCAGTACGTGATCACCATGATGACGAGCGGGATGAAGAACGCCACGAAGGACCCGATGAGGACAAAGTTCCTTTCGTTCAGGACACAGCTCCCATTGACGAACACCCGGGAGTCGTCCTGCAAACCTATGACAGGAATGGGCGTGGAGATCCCTGGAACGGGGAATAAAAACAGACCGTTATGACAAGCCGAGGCCCGGAGCACGCGGGTCAGGGAGGCACGCCCTACGTTCGCTGGGCTGCGTATTCAATCCATTCAACCCAAGTTACTATCCTCTGGGGGAAAACAAAGAATCCCTTTTGCCGCGTGGAGGCTCGCTAGATGGCACTCCAGCTCCAGCGAGAGGACGAGCTGCCGTCTTGACTGTCTATATAGGTATGCCGCTGCGGAGCCACGCACTGAATCACCTCCCCAAGGTTTCACTGTAACTCAGCTACTGGGCTGTCCTTTCTCTGACATTCATTTTGCCCTGCAGATGCTCTCCCAGTTGCACACCTGGCGGCTATTTACAACACACACGGGCAACCCTGGTTTGGAGAGATTGTGAGAGCATGAAGGTAGACAAGATTCTCTGGGTAGATGTGATAGCTTTTATTAGAGCAACTAAACAGTTGAAAAAAATTGTTCTTTGCATGCTTCCGCCCTTCTTCAGGCCTAGGGAGAGTCTGCTGGGGTTCATGCACTCTCCTGGGTGGGATGGAAGTCAACATGCAAAATGCAGGCCTGTGAAAATGCAAGTGTGTGGTACATGCATGTGGGGAGCACAGACACTCTTAGCCACTGAGGGAGGAATCAATCACATGCAAGAAAGCTGCACCCAGCCAGCTTTTAAGGGCTGATCCATGAAATATGGTTGAAATGGGTCTGACAGATAAACAGCCGCCTTCTCCATGGCATTATGGCCACATGCTTAAGAGGAACTATTTGCTGGTTTTGGTCTGATCCTGAGTGGAGCTGACAGCTGCTTAGCGCCTCTCAGGATCCAGCCCCGTGCCTGTATTGCTTAGGGAGTGCAGACATCCCGGCGGGGATGTCTGCAAGCTGTGTACGTCTCTGGGAGCGGTGCTACCAGCACAGTCAGACTTGCTGGTACTCTGCAGGCAGCTTGGTGAGACCCAAGCAGGGTTTGCCTTATTCCTGTCCCCACGCAGCAAGGGCAGAGATGGCTCAAACCCCGGGCGCCTTGTGTTCCTGACAGGGCAGCGAGGTTGCACTCGCGCCAGGCCGTCTGCGATCTGGAGCCAGAGCACAGCAACGAGGCTTCGGGCTGAAGGCATGCAAACTTTAAGTGCATTCACTACACTGGTGACTGTGCACAGCGTCTGCTTCTCCAAGCCCCAGGCCTCCAGATGAAACCCCAGAAGTCACCAAACTTCAAGTGGGTTTTTGCTGTCTGACACCTCGGGCTATTCCTGCTGAGTGGCAGATCTGGTGAGGACGGGATGACAAACGCAAGACGAGGGAAGAGGACTCTCTCCTTCCCCACCCTGCTTTGCTTGGCAGGCTGCGCGCTGTCCTGGCATGCTGCCGAGCTCGTCTCTGGGGCCAAAGCCCTGTCTCTGGCCATGGCGCTTGTTCGCTGCAAAGGGAGAAAATGCAGTCTGCAGCATCGATCACATCGACAGCAAAACAGCCCTGCTCTGGGGGCTCAGGGCCAGGGTGGGATGTCAGAGAGACCAACACAATGAAACAGCCTGGAAATACGGGCGCATTAAACTACCCCGTCTCAGTACCAAGATTTTAGCCTCTGCAAAAGCACTTAGTGAATATGGGACACAGAGGGTGGGTCTCAACAGGGGTCTGATTAGCACCTTTTCAAGCTGCGTCACAACTGCAATGGAGAAAAATATGCAGAGACTGGGGGGGAAAAAAGATGACGAGAGAAATCATGCGTGTTTCAGGCTCCTTCAGCAAAACGGCAAAAATAGTAGTGGCAAAGGGAAACACGCTGGTAGGAAACAACGTGAATGTCGAATTTCCAAGGGAATATAATGAACATCGGCATGTGACACAAAACTACTAGTCGAAACAACCCGCGGTGGGCAGACATCTCCTTCTCCTGCTCTCCATGCATTATGATTTACTGAGCTGTACTACAGGAGCTGTTTCGGACACCGAATCTGCTGAGGCCCGTGGTGCCAGGTGCTGCATGAACACACGACAGGGGGTAGTTTCTTCCCAGAAAAACTGATGAGCTAAAGCAGTGGTCAGCCAGGCTCTGGAGCCGTGGGACAGGTGGGCTGGTGTCCCCCAAACCGGCCAGTTGTCGCTGTTTCCCCGCCCTGCCCGGCCACTGCACAAAGCCTCATCCCCACCTCCTGCCACAAAGCTCCCGTGACGGCTCTGCAGGCCGTATCTGGCTCGAGAGCTGTATGCTGCCAATTTCTGATCTAAACAGACAAGGCAGGAAAAGCTTTGGGTAAAGGGAGCATTGCTATCCCTGCTTTGCTCATGAGGCACCAAGGCCAAGATTGGGGCATCTACTCCCCCCCGGTGCCTTGGGACTCCCCGGCCCTGGGGTCACACTGGCAGCTTGTGCCAGAGCCAGGAACTGAACTCGATTAAAAGTGTAAAAAATAAAACAACATGAAAATAACACTCAGTCCATGGCTGCCGTCTCCCTCATTCGGGGGCCACAGTTCTATTCAGTTTACCCGCAAATGCTCCCCTGTGCAACCAGGTTGGGCTGCCTTCGTCCCAGGACAGTGCACTGTAGTTAGTGAAGTTGTGCAGTAATTGCTAATCAACCAGACAACAGCAAAAATGTAAGTGCAGGATGCAACTATATTAAAAGGTCAGCAATTATAAGAGATGAGCTGAAGCCATTCTGCTCCTGGATGCCAGTCCCCCCACCTCCTGCTGCTTGTTCAGTGGTTCATTTCATTCCCAGAATGACCTACATCTCTAGCAAGTCTCGCTCACTGGGTGATTATGTTAAAAGGAAAATGAGAAAAAACACGTTTTTTAAAGCCGTGGCCCATGCACATCAATGACACGAAGCCCAAAATAGTTTGTATCTATAGACGAGTGCGAAATGCAGGGAAGAATGAACGATGGCAATTTCCTGTTTGAGTGAAGTGGCTTTTTTGGAGTATATCTGCACAGTATATCCAAGCCCTGTCAGCACCATAGTGTAGCCTTTCCCAGGAAGTTATTAAGGGGATTTCTGCTGAATAGCAGTGACCTTATGAATGTTTCACAAGCATGCACAAGCTGTGCTCCTCCTAGCCCAAGCTCCAGCTCCAGGATCTGACCTTCTCTCTCTGTTCAGACTGGAAAAGGTAGCATCAGCAGTCGCTGGCCACCCTCCCCACCTCCGCTCCAACTCGGACTACTAGGATCTTAATCCAGCCTGTCTCGGTGTCTGTCTCAGTGTCCTTTTGCAATGCAGTCTGGGAAGCAAATACGCCTGCCGTATGCACAAATCAACAGCAAATTCATTCATGGTGTGACTTCACTGAGTTCCCGGGAGTTTCACCGGAGTTGGCTTTCGCCCGTGGGGCTTGTATGAATGGTGTGGCAGAAAGCCACCTTGGTTTCTCCCCAGAAATCTCTGCCCTGTGACACTGGGCATTCGGAGCCTGGAAGGTGGTCGGGCGCAGGGAGTTGGGTGGCTCGACACAGGAGCACCCCCTACTGGCCCGCCTCACGTGGTGGAAACAGCAGAGGGATACGAATACCCAGCTGTGTTCCTGAGGTGGGATCTCTGCACCCCGCCACATGTGGTGGCAGCGGTGGGATCCGACTAACCCTGCCGTGTTACAGGCATAATTTGGGAAGAGTAATAGAGTCACTGAAATCCCTTGAGCAAACAATTTCTAATTTGGCATCGGGTCGACTGGATAGTGTAGATAGCCAGGATGGCGGAGCAGTACGCCCAAAAGACCATGCCTGAACTGAAAGAGCTGGCGAAAGAGAGAGGCCTTCATGTGAAGAAAGGGCTAAAGAAGGAGGAACTGATTAAACTCCTGTGTGACAATGACTCAGCCATAGAGCAACCTCCACACACGCCAACTCCTGAGTCCTCCCCGGAATCACAGCGCTGCAGGCCAAGTCCGCAGCCCTCAGGGAGATCAACCCCTACGGAGGAACGACAGAGCAAGCTCAGGTATGAGCTGGAGCTGAAAAAGATGGAGTTGGAGTTGAAAAAGATGGAGATGGAGGCCCAGCGTGAGAAGGCACAGCTGGAGAAGGCAAAGATGGAG